CATTGCATTGAGAACTGAATCAGTATAGCCTTTTACCATGGCAAGTTTTCCTCACTTGGAGTATAGCTACACAATGGCCATAAAACAGTTATCTACTTAGAGAAGGCCAGAGCAAAACACATTAAAAATCATCCTGGTGTGGGCTACTGTTGTGGCACAATGAATTAAACCGCATTGGCAGAATCTTATATGGACATTAGTACGAGTCCTGGCTTCTCCACTTCCAATCCAACTCCCGGCAAATGCACCTGGGACAGAGGTAGAAGACGACCCAAATACTCGAGCCCCATGCTGCTCACTGGGGAGACTGAACCTATGTGGTCAGTTGGGGAGTGAATCAGTGGATGGAAGACCTCATTCTCTGTCTCTCCCCTTCTCTTTGAAACTCTGCCTTTCAAATAAATGAATAAAATGAAAAAATTCTGGCCTGCATCTAGAAAAGTTCCATGGGTAGAACTGAATGATAACAACAACAACAATAATATTAAATCCCTGTCTGCTTATTTTAAAATCATGCTGGAATCTTTAGGATGATGTGTTAAGAGGCAGGAAGGGTTCATATGATTTCCTACTTACAGGTATATTGGCGGTACTTCAAAAAGTTTATGAAAAATGCACATTATTTTTATTTCATTTTCCCATGAACTTTTGGAAGTACACTAATATTTATGAGATTGTCCCATTAATAGAAGTATTGAATATGACAGATTTTCCAGCTGTATTAAAAAGTTTCTACATCAATAAAGTGGTGGAATATCAAGATACTTTATCTGAGAGGTGTCTTTTTGGTATTTTATTGTTTCCCATGATGTGTTTTTGTAGGTATACAGATCTCCCCTTTTCCTCCCCCTTTCCTTTCATATTTTCCCCTCCTGCTATTTCCCTTGTATTATTACAGCAGTGTGGTCCCTTAGTAACAGTTACAAGTCTAACATTCTACTATTTAAGTACATGATGGGATTATATGTATAAACAAATATAGAAAAGCTAGTATTATATTGTCAAGGTACATTTGACTGTTTTAAGGGGAATCCCCCTTTTATCTGGGCATAGAGATGCCTACTCCAACATATTGTAACATCCTGATGCGCTAGTCTGCATTATACAATTCATCTGTGAGAATCTATGTGTCAACTTGTTCACTTGTATATTTATTTTGTGTTTTGCATGCATGTTGCCTTATACAGAGAACATATGATACCTGTCGTTTTGGGATTGACTTGTTTTCCCTGAACAAAATGGTCTCCAGTTGGGACGATTTTGTTGTGCATAGTAGAATTTTATTCTTTGGATGGCCATGTAATATTCCATGGAGTATACGTACCACAGTTTTCTTATCCATTCTGTTTTAATGGGCACCTGGGTTGTTTTCATGTCTTTGCTATTGTGGTGTGTGCTGCTTTGAACGTAGGGCTGTATGTTGCTTTCTCAGATGCAGATTTCCCTTCACCTGGGCGTATTTCACAGGTGGCATAGCTGGGTTACACGGCAGATCAATTTTCAGTTGTCTGGGCATGCTCCACAGGACTTCCATAGTGCCTGCACTAGCCCACATTCCCACCAACAGCAGAGTAGGGGTTCTGCCTCGTGCTCCTGACTCCAGCTTCCTGCTGATGTAGTTGGATTTCTGCTGTTTACGTGGGAAGCCTGAACTGTGTTCCTGACTCCAGCTTGGCCCGGACCTGGCTCTTTCAGAGACATTTGGGGATGTAAGCTAGTATATAGGAGCTCTCTTTCTGTCTGTCCCCCCAAAAGGATGTGCCAGCTATACAAACTGCAGCATTTACCTACCAAGTTTTCTTGAACTGAGGTGTCCTGAGGCAGGTAATAACTCAGAAAGTGTCACAATACAAATCTAACTCATTCCTTCTGTCATCACATCAAAGCATAGTTACAGAGAGGAAAAATAGAGAGGTCTTCCAGCTTCGTGTTTACGCCCCAAATGACCACAATGGCCCGGGCGTGGCAAGGCCAAAGTCAGGATCTTCTTCGGGTCTCTCTTGTGGGTTCAGAGGCCCAAACACTGGGCCATCTTTCACTGTCTGCTCAGATGCATTAGCAAGGAACTGGGTTGGAAGTAAAGTAGCTGGGATATGACTGTTACCTACATTGGATTCTGGTGGTGCAGATAATGGCTTTACTCACTGCACAAAGCACTAGTCCCATCAGAACTATCTTTACTTCTGAAATAGGTGGGAATTGGGAAAACAACCTCGCTGAATGATGATGGATACATATTAGGTGTAAAAGAAAAATGAGTATGTATGTGTGTGTTCAGTTATCTGTGACTTGAGTTTGGAGTTCTATTTTTCTTTTAAAAATTATTTATTTTTGTTGAGAAGGCAGATTTACAGAGAGAAGGAGATACACAGAGAAAAATCTTCTGTCCACTGGTTCACTTGCCAAGTGGCCACAACGGCTGACCCAAAGCTAGGAGCCAGAAGCTTCTTCTGGGTCTCTTATGAGGGTGTAGGGTTCCAAGGTTTTGGGTCATGCTCTATTGCTTTCTCAGGTCACAAGCAGGGAGCTGGATGGAAAGTGGAACATCCAGGACACAAATTGGCACCCATATGGGATCCCAGCACATGCAAGGCGAGGATTTAACCACTAAGCCATTGAGTTGGGCTCGAATTTGGAGTTCTTGAGTTGAACATGCTTTTGTTGGATTTTTACTTTTAGTCAGTGAATGAAGGTGGAAACACACAGGACCAGGACAGTTATAACTCTCAGTATTGGCAGTTTTGAAAATTTAGAATAACTTTCAAATAAAGGTGGTTCTGTTGGCTTTGGAAATGTAGTATTAATTCTTACCAAATGTTCGATCACAAATCTAAATAAAAATTCCTAAATGCTTACTTAAAGGTTTTTTTTTTTTTTCATGTCAGAAGTTAATTTACAGAAGACTTTAAGAGTTTGACCCATTTTTTTCAGAGGTTGCACTTCTTGAAATGCTGCTATCTGTTAAATGTATGACCTGAGACATACTTGCATTGTAAGCAGCTGGTCTCATCCTGTGAGGGAAGGTGCAGTGCATCCAGAAAAACACACAGTTATCAATGCAAGCAACCTCCACCTTTAAAAAAATAAAACGACAATTTTACATGAGACAAACAACAGAAGTTAGGCAGCTTTGTGCTAGTCCAGCTCTGTCTTACACAAAACCTGAACGAGAATAGATATGAAGTGATCCAAATAGTATTATTATAGTAGTCAGCTAGCATCTGCACAGGATCTGAATGGGGACATTTTCAATCTCTACTTATTTTTATTTTAGTTATTTTGAAAACATCTGCATTCACAAAACGCAAGTCAAGTTCTGACTTTGTGAAATTAATTTGTAGTCCTTTTTGGGGGGGGGTTGAAAATGCACATTCTACAAAAGGTTTATCTTTAGTAATGATAATTAATATTAAACACAAATTTCATAATTTAGGAATCTCATTGGAAGGAATACCATGCAAGTACTGAATAACTCATGGATCAGGGTCTTTGCTTCCATGACTCTTAATCTATCCCACATTTGAAATTCTGACTAATAAGGTTACACTTCTGAGGAGCAGCAGATAAACCGAAGTGTCAGCGTAGTATCTGAGTGAGGCCTTTTCAGGGAATAGTCCATTAAAAGAAGATTTTTTAAAATTATTATTGGAAAGGCAGCTTTACGAAGAGGAGAGGGAGAGAGAGAGAGAGAGACAGGTCTTCCATCTGCTGGTTCACTCCCCAAATGGCCCCAACAAGTTGGAGCCTAAGTTTATCCAAAGCCAGGAGCTTCTTCCAGGTCTCCCATGCAGATGCAGGGTTCCAAGACATTGAGCCGTCCTCCACTGCGTTCTCAGGCCACAAGCAGAGAGCTGGATGGGAAGTGGAGCATCCAGAACACGAACTAGTGCCTATGTGGGATCCCAGTGCTTAAAAGGGGAGGATTGTGTGTTGGGTCCATTGAAAGAAATTAAGGCTAGAGTGAGTAAGGCGCTGCTGACATGTTGGGTCAGACCAGCTAAGGCAGTGTCGGGAAGAGGTATGTTTGCTTGTGTAGTGGTGGGAAGCCACTCTGATTCAGCCTTTTTGACCTTTGCCTGCCATGACTGTGTTAAAGAGACATGGAAATGCCACCTACTCGATGCTAAAGAAAAGAAGGGAACATCAGAAAAATGTATACATATAGAGTCATGGGTTTGGTTTGAAAGATACTGCAAGAGATTGCTGGACTTAAGACTGTTTAGGAAGGAATATAGTGCTGTAACAATATAGGGGAAATCAGTATGTGTGAGGGAAAGGGCTTGGGGGGGGACAAGGGAGCCTATGGAACTGTACCATAAAATAATAACAAAAAATTAAAAAAAAGGATGGATGCATGGATGCCCTGGAAAAAAAGGCTTTCAAATGGAAATATTCTTGGCCAGGTTACCCAGCTCTGTTATGCCTCAATTCTCTCACTGGTAATGTGGATGTTTATGTCTTCAGGCCATTTTCAGAAACAAATGAGATAAAATAGGTCAAATGCTTTAAACTATATTTAGCACAAATTACATAATAAGTATTTGTGAGTACTAAAAATAACTGTATGCGGAATTTTGTTATGCTAATTTTTATTACGTTCTTATTATGCTAGATTTACCTTTGTGTTTCCCTTTCCCCTAGTTCCCAATCTCTTCAGATGACTTTCATGTTCAAACGTTTAAAAACACTCTCTCTCACCTCCTTTATTCTAGGTGGAGTTGACATTACAGTAGTATGCGGAGGATTTCCTGTGTTGTGGTTCCCGGAACATTTCAAACACTTGTGATTTCTCTGCTTCTTGTTCATCCTATACGTTCATGTTTCATCAATAGAGGATTCAAGGGCATCATTGAAATACACATTTTTTTTCTTTATCCTTTCACAATAAGTTATCAGCTTTTGGGTTCTTTAGCCCTAGCTGCATGATCCCACACCCACTGTGAGCCTTTGCTGCATGGAGCTCGGAGCATCAGTTCTCATGGCAGGTACGTGAAGCCAGGTCCCCAAGGATTTACCTGTATGGTGGTTCCGAATTCACCTGGGTCTTCTGTTCCCTGTAAGAGTTCTGAAAACCTATCAGCAAATGGAGAGCAGAACCCAGATGAACTGAGGGTGCAATCTGCACTGTTATTGTGACAGTGATAGAATCTGTACAATGGAAAATTGTGGTCTTAGAAAACCTTTCATTTGATTTGTGACTTAGTTATCAGCTTTGATAACTTGATGAAATAGCATTGTTATGGGATCCTAAGTTTTACTGAGAGAGCATGGATAAGCACCTGTTAGGTAAGCTCATGTAATATCTGTCTCTTCTTACTGCAAGTGTCTAAGTTTCTATGACATTTTAGCAAAATAAATGGTAAATTCACCTTGAAGACCTGAAGGAGAAGAAAATGTATGGATAATCTCCAGGAAGCATGATGTGTATCACATAGAAATATTGGCATTAGGGGTCTGAACTGAACGTTGTAATTGTCTAGTATTTGTGTGGCAGGTGGCTGTTAGCAAGTGAGGGGAGTTTTTGGTTTCTCCCTCAATGGTTCCTGACTTTAAGAACTTCAGCCCTTGTAATCGTTCTGTGAGTCATTACTTTGTTTTCTCTACAGCTTCTCGGAAGGTCCTGTGGAGGTTCGTTTCTGGAACCTTGGGAATAATTTGTCTGTTGCTGATGACTACTTTGGGATTTGTATTGAAAAATGGTAAGTTTTTATTATTGAGTCAACATACTCATCTAAATTGTGATGAAGTCACTGAACATTGAAGATTTTACTTTTTGCTTATTTTACTGTTTACACTAATAAAATATTTTACTAATTTACAAATCAATGTCTGATTAAGCATCTTCAATTATTTCCTATAGTATTTTCTAAGCCAAGTAATCAGTCAACATTCCTCCCAGAAGTCACGATAGAATTCCAGGAAGGTAGGTTCCATGCTTTGGAAAATGTGATTGATAAAGGATTAAGTAGACCATATATATATATTTTTTATTTTCAGACATAGGCACATGATGGAATGTCACATTTAGTAATACAAGCTTTCGTACTACTTGGAGGATAGTTCCATTCTGCTGTTCTCTAATAAAATGGTGATTAAATAAACTGTGTAATTTCATGATTAATAAATGACAATTTACTACTAATAATTAATAAAATAGTAGCCATAATTGGAGACTTTTCCTGTATGAATGCTCATGATTAAGTAACAAAAAATTAGCTACAGTAGGTATTACAGAAAATTCTAATTACAATCCTATGTTTCTTTACCTTTTCTTTGTAATTTTTCTTTTTTTAAGGTTTATTTATTTTCATTTGAAAGTCAGAGAGAGAGAGAGAGAGAGAGAATCTTCCACCTGCTGGTTCACTCCTCAAATGGCTGTAACAGTCAGAGTCAGACCAGTCTGAATCCAGGAGCCTGGAACTTCTTCCAGGTTGTCCGCATGGGTGGAGAGACTCAAGCACTGGGTTAGTGTATGCTGTTTTTCCAGGCCATTAATAGGTAACTGGATTATAAGTGGAGTGCCCTGGATTCAAACAAGTACCTATACAGGAGCCCGGCATCTAAGGTGGAGGCTTAAGTTGCTATGTCATAGCAATCACCCCTCTTCGTATTTTTCTATTATCAAGTATATAGTACACAGATCTGCAATTACAACCTTATCAATCTTGTGAAAGCCACCTCCCAGTGCAATACTTTGAAAAAAGAATCTATTTCAAATACTCCTCAAATTGTCTTACTGTACTCTATGATCACGTAGCACTACATTTGCATCTTGTATCAATGGTTTTAACATAATTCATGTGAGAGTCTATCATATGTCATGGCTTTTATTACTGAGGATAAAATATGTTGGAGACAGTATCACAGATAAGCTGTATGACTGATTTAGCATAATCCACTTATTTATCTTCAGTTTTTTAAAAAAATAAAATATCCAAGCATGTAAGAATTGTCTTGGCAGCAGCATTGTCACGCAGCGGGGATAGACTGCTGCATCGCTGGTTGGATGGATGCTGGTTCAAGTACCAGCTGGTTCACTTCTTGTCCAGCCACCTGCTACAGCACGCGAGAAAGCAATGGGAAGTGGCTTAAGTCTTTGTGCCCTTCTGTGTGGGAGACCTGGAAGAAGACCCTGACTCCCAGCTTTGGATCAGCCCAGCTTTGGCTGTTAGGGCCATTTAGGGAGTGAATCTGTGGAGGAAAATACGTTTGTCTCTCCCCTCTGTAACTGTCTTTCAAAGAAAAATAAAATGATTCTTTAAATACAACGAAGTTCTTATATATCTTCTGTTAAATTATTATTAAATAGAATCAATAAGTGATTGGATGTTACATATTTCTGAACTTAGTTTTAGATCATCTCTGTGAGGAAACAGTGTGGCAATAATATGCCCTACTATATGTATGTATGTTCTCAAAGAAGATGTGTAGAAAACAGAATGACAAATTACTTTTGAGTGATTAGGAAGCATTAAAAGGTGGAGATCTCCCATGACATGAGGCATGTTCGGTTTTCCTTCTCGTAGGCTCAGACTGCTGTTCTTGTCCAGACAAGTGGATTGGGTATCAGTGCAACTGTTACTTCTTTTCTGATGAAACGAAAACCTGGAGAGAAAGTGGGCGTCTCTGTGGTATTCAGAACTCCAGTCTACTTAAGCTCCAAAGCGAAGATGAATTGGCATGTACTTAATTCTCGCTTCCTAATTTTTTTTTAATAATTCACTTTTATTAAAGAGAACAGATTCCATATGGTTTATGGATACAATTCTAAGAATATAATGATATGTCTACCTCCCTCCTCCTTTCTTTTTCTCTTGTTAACTTTTTGCAATGTATATTTTAAAATTTTAGTTACAGACATAAAGAGTCGAACAAGAACCAAAAGAATGGTCATTATTTTTTGCCAATTTTGTTCAAAGAACCAAAAGGATGACTGTATCTTAATTTTTCCAGTGTAATTTATAGCTTCTTTTGCAACTGTAAAACTTTCATCTTTCTTGGATTATAATATAGGATTGAGACAGAGAGTATGATCATATAAATTATTCTTTTTTTGAAGATTTATTTATTTCTATTGGAAGATATACAGAAAGAAGGAGATACAGAGAGAAAGATCTGTCTGCTGATTCACTCCCCAAGCAGCTGCAACAGCTGGAGCTGAGCTGAAGCCAGGAGCCAAGGGCTTTCTTTGGGTCTCCCACTTGGGTGCAGGATCCCAAGGCTTTGGGCTGTCCTAGACTGCTTTCCCAGGCCGCAAGCAGAGAGCTGGATGGGAAGCAGAGCAACAGGGATTAGAACTGGCACACATGTGGGATCCTGGCACATTTAAGGCGAGGTTTTGAGGCACTAGGCTACTGCAATGGGTTCAAATTATTCAATTCCTAAGAGAAATCAGAAATAATTTTTCATTTGAGGTATCTATGCTAGATGTTGGTTGCATAGATTCTATTGGAATTTATCCTTCAATATACTGATAATTTGGAATAAAATTGATCATTGATACCCTGTGAAAAAAATGTTTTGTGATAAATCTTAGTTTGCTTTAATGATGTTTTTCATTTCTTCAGTAAATTAGATTTTGTGGTTTTTTTTTTTCTGTTATAAATCAATGTGCCGGATAAATGAGAAATTTGAAGCATGCAACTAGTACATTTTAAACTAGGATCCAGACATGGTTTCAGTTGGTGTGACAGAAGCCTGCATTTTCTTTTTTTACTTTGGGAAAAGTATTTTATTATTTAAATTAATTTTAGCACATAAGCTTTCATTGTATAATCCTTTACTCTTTGCAAAAGCCTATTATGACTTCAGTTTTTCTTAACAGTTGGTAGTCATTCTTTTTTTAAAAAATTATTATTACTTTGCATTATGTGACACAGTTTCATAGGCTCTGGGATTTCCCTAACCCCTCCCCAAACCCTCCCCCCATGGTGGATTCCTCCACTTTGTTGCAGTATTACAGTTCAAATTCAGTCAAGATTCTTTGCAAACATATACCAAGCATAAAGTCTAGCATCTAATTGTCCAGATAAATTCAGTGGTTTCTTGGGGAGACCATCTCTGGTCTGAAGGTAGAGCTGGCAGAATATCATCCCGATCAATTAAAAGCCCCAACACAACATCAACAACAATTTACAATATTATGGAATTAATTGGCATGGTATTGAGTTACCAATATGTGAAAAAAAAGGGCTGTCTGGAACAGTGTTGGCTTAGGCTGACGCATTTGTGTCTGTCTCCCGGCAGAGGTTTATGAGCTCAAATCGAGACTTTTACTGGATTGGACTCTCCTACTGGGAAGAATACGGTGCGTGGCTGTGGGAGGATGGTTCTGCCATCTTCCAGGATCTGTAAGTTTCTGAAAGTCAAGGCAGCTTTTTATTCTTTGTGGCTGTATCATTGGATGTGGCCAGTGAAACAACCGTGCACGATCCTTTAAGTAACCCGCATGGGGCACTGGAATACAGAAAAAAGAGCAGGTGGAGCAGAAAAACAATGTGAGTCCCACTCATAACATCCAAGTCTAGGCTCTGGTGTGGTGAAAATGAACATAGCTGTGATCTTAAACTTGACATCACTTTGCTTTGGCCCTGGGACCAACGCTTGGAGATGCATGAGAAATGATTAAAGAGTTCCCGGAAAATGTATATTGTAAAAAAACCTTACACATTGATTTCAATGTTTGTAGCAAATAAATGTATCACTTAATTCTATTTTTTGTGAGCTCTTGTGTGTGTGTGTGTGTGTGTGTAGTTTGTCACACACAGAGGGAGTCCAGAGATGACGATGTGTCCTATTTTTTCTTCACTCTGGTAGAAATGAGTGTTTTTTAGCATCTTCCGTGTTTCAAATGTTCTGAGTCTATTTTCTGAGTATATTTAATCGCTGAATCCTACTTGCATTCTGTACTGGGTGTTTACTGCAGCAGACAATGGAGAAATTAATACTGTGGCTTGTTTTCTTAGAGTGGATCAGTCAGAACATTTAAAAAAATATTTATTTACTTTTATTGGAAAGTCAGAGATACAGGGAGGAAAATCTTCTCTCCCAGCACTGATTCACTCCCCAAGTGGCTGCAGTGGTCAAAGTTGAGCTGATCCAAAGCCAGGAGCCAGGAATCTCCTCCGGGTCTCCTTTGTGGTACAGGGTCTCAAGGCTTTGGACCGTCCTCAACTGCTTTTCCAGGCCACAAGCAGGGAGCTGGATGAGAAACAGGACTGTCAGAATTAGAACCAAAGTCCATATGGGATCCAGGTATGTGCAAGGAGAGACTTTTAGTCGCTAGGCTACGGTGACGGGGCCCCAGCCAGTACATCACAAACAAAGTGGAAATAAAGCTTATTGTGTGTCAAAACCACTAAAGACAGTATTAAAATTTTAAACAAAATTCTAGTTTCAATGGTGTTGATCATTAGTGGAATAGCTTAAGTTTTGGGGGTAGTATTATACTTCCACATCATGAGAATTATGGTCACTCAAAGAAAAATATGACATACTATGCCAATTATCTCACCTAAGTGCTGTCAGAAAATCTAATATTTAATTTAAAAATTATCCCTGGACATTTTCATGGTAACACCTTTTTCTCGATTTCAGATTTCAAATGTTTAAAAATTTGACTCCAAAGAACTGTGTTGTGTATAGCCCAACCAAACTTGTTGTGAGTGAAAACTGCGAGAAGAGTAACCTTTACATCTGTAAGAAGCAACTTACTCAAGTACTTCCTGAGACAGCGACAGCGAGCAACATGGATCTGTGACGTTAAGAACAGTGCCTGGATCACGTTACTAACTGGGTATTTCTGGGAGGTGTACAATGTTTCCAACGGTGTCTCGTTGTGCAACTTTCATATTTTACAAGCCATGTGGTTTGCTTGATGGGATTTGCATATCTATACTCAGAATTATGAGATGTTGAGATAAAGGATTTTATGAATATCTAATGTATATGCTGAATATTAAATTCAATATAGTCCAATACATCTATCTGTAAATCATCTATGCATAAAATGAAATAACATATACTTTATGCCAGATATTGCACATCAGCATCCTTTCAGTCCTAGAAATGCCATAGTAGATTGGAAAATTTCAATCTCATCTCTTTTTTTCTGGAAGTAAATGTTAAGTTGAAGATTCTTTGTTGATTGTTTCTGGGTATCTGTACATTTATATGCTTAATTTAGAGATGAAAGTGCCAGAAATATGCAAGCATATTGTACATCTGCTCTTGATACTCTTGTGTTATTAAGAATAATTAAAAGTCTTTAACCAAATGTTAATTAACATGTGAATGGTTCAAGATTTTGCCCTGATGTTGTAATTTTATAATACTCACTTCTTTACTCCTCAAACCTTCTTTGTCTTATAAATCCATTAATAAGAGTCCCTTTCATGTGCATTTACGATGTTCTTCACTTTAATAAATGTCATGTGTCTAATTCCACACTGCTATCTCTTTTTTATGTTGTGTCTTGGGTTGTGGAAGGAAACAACTCATTTGCCCCAGGGATTTCTGAATATGTTAGAGGGCAGGACAACAATGAGATCCTATGCCTGTGACCTGCATTACATTTTCTTGGCCTCACAGCTAGCAAAATCAAAATGTACTTATAATTCTTGCATACACATGTTAAAAGATTTGTCTCAAAACTTTCGATTTATGACTTCGTTTCAAGTCAATGATAATAATTAATTACATCTGATTCACTTTTGAAAATGATTTAGTTTTAGATTTTCATTTGAAAGGTAGAGTTGCAGAGAGAAGCAGAGAGAGAGAGATGTTTCATCTGCTGATTCACTCCCCAAATAGCTGCAATGGCTATAGCTGAACCGATCTGAAGCCAGGAGCCAGAAACTTCTCTGGATCTCCCACATGGGTGCAAGGGACTTGAGTCATCCTCTACTGCTTTCCTCGGAATATAAGTAGGGAGCTGGATGGAAGTGGAGCAGTTGGGACTCAAACCAGCATCTATATGAGCTACAGCTGCAGGCAGAGGCTTAGCCTACAGGCCGTCATGTCAGCCTCACTTAGTTCACTTTTAATATGCAAAAAGTCAGAGAAAGGAAAGATCCTCCTGAACTTTGTTTGTCAAAAATATAAACACGACAAGGTGGAATTCTTTGCATTCTTGCACTGAGATTGGTTTAGGGAATATGGTGGCAGGGAGAAATATATGATACAGTTCACATGTTCAACCTGCACTGAGAATTTATATGCTTAACATCTGGAAATCTGGGCTGTCTTGGCTTGTTTATGTTATTACTAAATAATATATAAGCAACTAAAATTTTGAATTTACTATAGCTCCCATGTATAAGGGAAAACGTGGCAGCTGTCTGTGTCACTCAACGTGATGTCTTTCAGTTCCAATCATTTTGATGCAAATGATAGCCTTTTTATTGTTTTTATAGTTGAATGACGTCCCATTGTATCTGTATATCACACTTTCCTTACCCACTCATCTCACATTGGGCAGGTTGTGGATTCCATGTTTTGGCTTTGTGGACAGTGCTACCATAAGCATGGTGACAGTGTCATTTAGCGCAGTGCATTCATTTTGGTTATAAACCCTGCAGCGGAATTGCTCGAACATAGGGCAAGTCTATTTCTGGTTTTTAAGAAAATTTCCGTGATGTTTTCCCACCATGAGTGTGTAAGAATCCTCTTTTCTCCACATAATTTGCCAGCATTTCTTACTGTCTTTTTTTTTTATAAAAACCATTTTAACAGCGGTTAAGTGATATCTCACATGATCTTTATACATAAAAGCTAAAATGAAAAAAACCTAAAAAATAAAAAGTACATGTATATCAATTTTTTTTGCATGCTTAGAGCTTTGTAAAACTCAAGTCTTTGTAAAAAGCTAAGAGTTGCGTTATATCATATGTTTAATCACTTTGTGTTTTATAACTTACGTGAGTAATGTTGAGTGTCTCTTTGACTAATGTTGATAGCCCCTGCTAATTTCCTGGTGGGCTTTGCTCTTTTTATCTTTGTTGAGCTCTTTATTTACTGAAACATCCTGGTTTTGGCTATGAGCCAAATTAAAAGTGCTATCTAAAAAAATAAAGTGTAAAATGTAATATAGACAAGCTTCTGATAGAAATCATGAGTTTTTTTTTTTTTATATATCAGCTGACCTATCTTTCCGTATTCTGCCCACAAGACAGTTCTTTCTGTTTTTGCTTTGCTTCCTAGAGTGGTTTTCTCTGCAATGAACCAAACCTAGTCTGATTTCTTATTTTGTTTAAGATGAATCTCCAAGATTTTCAGCGTATCACACCCACGTACAGGTTCATGTCATGACTTTTGTTATCACGCTATCAGAGGCCAGTCTTCATTTTCTTCCCTGGAGAATTCATGCATACTCATGACAGTTGCAAGGATAGTGAGAAAGCAGGAGGTTGTGGATATGATGGATAGTGTGTAATTACAGAGACCACGCCATGCCCCCAAAACTACCTCCACTAAGAAAATTCTTGTTGCTTTCCAGTTAAGCTCATGTTTTTTTTTTTTGGCCCAAATGCAATTTTGGAACATTTTGATGGAAGGTGCTGGATTGAATGGAGAATATTGGTCTACATCTTCAGACCTGCTTCATTTTGTTATCTTTCTCCCAACATTTAAGATTTATTTATTGCAAAGGCAGAGTTGCAGGGAGAGAGGGACACACACACACATGTACACAGAGAGAGAGAGAGACAGAGAGAGACAGAGAGACAGAGAGAGACTCTAAATGCCCACAGTGGCTTGGAGTCAGCAGCCAGCATTCAGGAGCCGGCAGTCAGGGATGTGGTGTGGTTGTCCCTCATGGGCAGCAGGAACCCAGCCACCTGAGCCACCACTGCTACATCCTTGGGAGTGTTATTGGCAGGAAGTGGAAATCAAGAATCAAACTGCAGCACTGCAATGAGGGAGATGGGTAGCCTAACCCTGAGATGAAATGCTCATTCCCAAAAATTCTTTTATGCACTGGAACAGCTTTCCTATTAAACCTGCTCTTTGACTCTAATCTTCTATTTCTGGTAAACTTGCTGGAGAAAGCCACATTATTTTGTTTTTACTCTCTTCCTGCTTTTCATTACTGACAAACAGGCTAATGTGTTTGGATCATTTTTTTTTTTTCTGTGAAGTGCTTCTTTGTGTGGTTTTTGTCATTTAAAATTTTCAGTTGTTAAACTTTTATTTTCAATCGAAAACACCATAGAAACATTAAGGAAATTTCAAACACTGGTCATTTAGCATACTTAAAAAAAAAAACATCAAGGGCATGGCACCATAGCCTAGAGACCAAAGTGTTCACCTAGAATGTGCTGGGATCACATGTGGGTGCCAGTTCATACTCCAGAAGCCCCACTTCCCATCCAACTTCCTGCTTGTGGCCTGGGAAAGCAGTCGAAGACAGCCGGAAGCCTTGGAACCCTGCACCTGCGTGGGAGACCCAGAAGAAGCTCCTGGCTCCTGTCTTCGGATCAGCTCAGGTCCAGCTGTTGCGGTCACTTGGGGAGTGAATCATCAGACAGAAGATCTTCCTCTTTGTCTCTTCTCCTCTCTGTATATCTAACTTTCCAATAAAAATAAGTACTTTAAAACAGGGTTGGAAATAATATACATTCACAGGATGCTGTGTGGAATGTCCATAGATGTTTTCAATATGCACTTAGCAAATCAAGATAGCATTTCCCTTGTCTTGTCATTATTTTGTGATTGAAGATGTGGAGCTCCTTTCTTCCATTTTCTCGGAAGATATGAACGAGGTTATTGTGAACCACAAAACCTCACCGTGCTGTGTAAGGCCTGGTGCTTACTCCTCCGATCTAATGTGATTTGGAAGTTTTTATTCAGCTTCTCTCTGTTCTCCTCTAGGCCTCTGGTCATTACTATTCTGTGTTCAGACAGAGTTTTATTAGCTTCCGTATATGAAGGAAAGCATACAGTATTTCCTTTCCTTTCTGTGTCTGGATTGTTCACTCGATATAATGCCTTTTTTTTTTTTGCTGCAAATGGCAGATTTCCTTATTTTTTTTTATGGCTGAAAAATTATTCATTGTGTGTATATATGTCATGTTTTCTTGATCTGTTTTCCTGTTGATGGAAATCTTGGTTGATTCCAGATGTTGGCTATTTTTGCCTGGTACCATCTGTATGTCTTCTCTCATTGTTGCAGTTCTTACCTTCTCCTTGTGTTAGTGCCCTGAACTCCACAAGCACCATCCTGGCAGTTGTTTTGAATTCTTTTCCAGCGTAATCTCTCATTTATGTCTACTACTCCGTTTTTGAATTTTCTCTCACTTTCTGTGTTGGTGTCTGTTCTTGAGACAAATCAAAACAGGATAATTATTTCTCTGATTCCCTCCCCTGTTAGGGGATTTTTAAAATTTATTTTTATTGTAAAGTCCGATATACAGAGTGGAAGAGATACAGATCTTCCATCTGCTTATAAACTCCCCAGGTGGCTGCAATGGTCAAAGCTGCAGTGACTCGAAGACAGGAGCCAGGAGCTTCTACTGGGTCTCCCAGGTGTGTGCAGGGTCCCAAGGCTTCCGGCTGTCCTTGACTGCTTTCCCAGGCCACAGTCAGGGAGCTGAATGGGAAGTGGGCTGCTGGGACATGAACAAGTGCCCATATGGGATCCTGGCACTTGCAAGGCGAGGACTTCAGCCAGTAGACTAGTGCGCTGGATTGTATATACATTTTTAAATGGACAAAACTATTATTCTCTGTAAACTAAAAAAAAGGAAAAACAGGTGATGAAAATTGTAATAGGATACTGCAAATCAAAGTAGATATCCTTCCATGACTCTAAAAAAAGAAGAAAAATATCAAAAAGGATAAAACGAAACAGGAATTCATCTCAGATGATAAAATGCTAAAAGCTAATGAATGAGCAAATATTTAAAAGGCAAATGGGAGTAATAAGAAAATGGATTATAATATTGTTAATAGCAAAAGAGAAAGTAGATATAAAAAGATGGATAAGAGGGCCTGATGTGACGGCTCAGTGGCTAAAGTCCTTGCTCTGCGTATGCTGGAATCCCATATGGGCACCAGTTTGTGTCATGGCTGCTCCACTTCCCATCCAGCTCCCTGCTTGTGGCCTGGGGAAGCAGTCTAGGACAGCCCAAAGCCTTGGGACCCTGCACCTGCATGGAAGATCTGGAAGAAACTTCTGGCTCCTGGCTTAGAATTGACTCAGCTTTGGCCATTACAGCCATTTGGGGAATGAACCAGTGGATGAAAACTTTCCTCTCTGCAAGTCTGCCTTTCAAATAAAAGTAAATAAATATAGTTTTTTAAAAAAGAAAGAAAGACAAATATCACATGTCTTGTTTGTGGAATAGTATATGAAGAGAACTATATGTCATATCATTCAGTATGTCGTGATAAATGTTGATGTGTTGATCATATCACGTACATGGCAATATAGCATTTCCTCCCAAAATGATTATTGTCACGAATCATTTATTGTTATAAATATTGCTTTGTGATATTAATATCTCTGTTTTCAAGAAAAACTCATATGCGTATGTATGTAATGTCTAGTTTGGAATGAGTATTAAAATTGTTAAATGTTACAACTGAAAAATAATAACCATAAAAAATCACAAGAAATATACTATCAATTTTCAAAAGCTATCTAATACAATGATGACTAAGGTGTCATGAATTGTTGCAATAACTAGCACAGTTGTTATAGTAAACAATATTGTAGGAAATAAAAAATGAGACATTATTCATACAAAGTGATTCTAAGATATGTTTTTCTACACAGCAGTGGGAGCATGGGCCAAAAAGAAGTTATTGTATGGAAGACTTCAACAGTGTAATTGATTTTGGGTGCGTAGTAACTATTACAGACTAATAGTATATGTTATGCCTTCTTTCCAATGTGATTGAAACATTCACAATTTCACATAGAAAACTCTTGAAAAAAGGAAAAATGATGGCTATTCCATATATATATTTGTTCTTTCATACATATATACACACATATATATATATTCTTTAAAAAATGATTTATTTATTTTCATAGGAAAGCCAGATATACAGAAAGCCTGAGAGATCTTCTGTCTGCTGATTCACTCCCTAAGTGGCTACAACATCCAAAACTGAGCCAATCTGAAGCCAGGAACCAGGAGTTTCTTCTGGGTCTCCCACACGGGTGCAGGGGCCCAAGGCTTTGGACTGTCCTTGACTGCATTCCCAGGCCACAGGTAGGGAGTTGAGTGGCAAGTGGGGTTGCTGGGATTAGAATCAGCACCCATATGGGATCCCGATGCGAGCAAGGTGAGGCCTTTAGCCACTAGGCTACCACGGCACGCCCCATGTATGTACTCTGATGGAGAGAATTCCTTTTTATCTTTCTTCTCTTTTTTCCTCTCTTATTGTCTCCTTCTTTTTCTTCCCTAGATACAAATGTAGATACAAGTGTAGGCATTATGATAGCTCTAGACATCGGAATCAAACATGTATACATTCAGATACACATATACTTATAATTCAGCTATTCTATTTCAAAGAATCTACTTTGATGATGAAGATTAGCCACTATGTAGAAGTGGAAATAAATAGAAACACACAAAACTTGGTGCACATATGGGAAGGGGGCTGGATAAGGCGGAGTATAGCGTGTCACTTAAGAGAGACGTTTCTGGACAAGATTTCCTGGGTCTTTAACGTATGCGACTCTAGGAAGCTGACTTCATTATTTCAGTTCCTATGTCAGTTACTCAATTGGGAAAATGAGTAGATTAGTAGTTATCTTCTTTAAAGAGTTATTTTGAGGTATAAAAAGTGAATACTCTTCATAACTATAATTTAATAGTTATGTTGATCTACCCAATAAATATTGACAACTACCAGAAGAGAAAAATATTTTATAGATAAAATTACTTTGGTTTGTATTTTTGTGGTCCTAGGCAACTAGTTCAGGGTCATGGGCTTGACAGCCACACCTCCCCAACCTATGTGGTGCTTTCTGCCCCCACCTGTGACGCTCACCTATCATCACCTGGAACCTGCAAGGGGGTGGTATTGAGTTGTTGTGTAACCACTCCCATTACAAGTCCCTATAAAGGCCCATGAAAGTGAGGGCTCGGTCTCTTGGTGGCGTGTTTCCATCGCCCGGCGCTCCGGCTCTCGGACTCCAGTACCTGCTTGCCCTCTGGTTTCCTGTGCACAGACGCCAAGGAATGGTAGCTCCTGAGCATGGCCCCTGTGTGTCTGTGTTCCTCACCCTCTGTTCACTGCTTGGGTGAGTCAGTGAAGATGCAACTGCTAAGATGCTTTGTATTACTAATTTGTGTATTTTCAAGAGTTTCAGGAGAGGTGAGGCATAGCAGTACTGGAATATGGACAGAGAAGCCAGGAAAAGGTGAATGTTCACAGTTTTATAAGTGTGTCCTGATTGTTCACTAAGTGTCTCTTAGGATAACTTATACAGCTGGGGAAGCTGGACCTCAGGTCTTCAGTTCAATGGATGGGTTTCATGATAATGACCCTTTGTTCCTCTCAGGGTCTCAGTTCAGACTGGATTGCCATGTGTGCTTGTCATTTACTAATTTCTAGCGCGCCCTGCCATCACCAAGCTTGGTTAATAACGACTCATTAATGCATCATAGACAAGTTTGGCACGAGCTCTCTCACACGCTGCAACCATGCTTTTCAAATATTTAAATACAGTTTTTTTTCAAGCTAAGGTTGATTTTCAGAGATTAAAATCACACATCAAGATGAAGTCATTTCTCTTTACCTTATTGGGCTTTATCTAATCTATTTGAAAGGCAGATAGTGAGGGGGAGACAAAGAGAAGGAGATCTTTCATTTCTTGGCTCACTCCTCAAATGGCTGTGTTGATCAGGGCTGGGTCAGACCAAATAAGGAGTCAGGAATTCATCCAAGCCTCCCACATGGATGTCAGGGGCCCAGTTATTCATGTCATCGTCTACTGCCTTCCGGAGTGCATTAACAGGGATCTGGATCAGGAGAGGAGCAACCAGGACTCCAACTGCCGCTCCGATATGGGGTACTGTTACTGCCAGTGATGGCTTAACCCACTGCACCGTAAGTTTTAAAGATACAACTGTTTTCTTTATATGGTATCCAGAATATTTTAGAAACAAGAATGTCTACTTCTTGATCATACTATTATACCCAACTTACAAGGACCTGACATGTATATGTTGCTTTTCCAGCATTGTTGCCTGATTTGTTTACAGTTATAGGGAGTGGGGGAGAGAGAGAGACAGAGATAGAAACTCAGATCCTCTGTTCATTTCCCTAATGCCTGCATCAGTCAGGCCCTGGGCCAGGCTTCAAGCAGGAGCTGGAAACTCAATCCGTGTGTCCCATGAGGGTGAGTGGCGGAAACTCAACTACTTGTTACATCACAGTTGTCCACCCCAACACTCTCAGGTCTGTATCATCAAGCAGCTGGAATAGGGAGCAAGAGCAGAAATCTAATTCTGGTACTTTTATAAGAGATGTGGGCATCTTGACTTCTAGCTCAAATCCACCATCCAGCACCATTCTTTTCATTCACATACTCATAATATATTTCCCATATGCATCTTGAATAACCATTTTTTCTCATAACAGGTGTGTAATGTACAGATTTGGAAAGGATGAATAGGAAGCTAATTTTGGATATCAATATATATTTCTGGAATAATTTCATGGTGTTTCTTTTGTATCACAGAGCAATTAATATTATAATGAACAGATTGATAAATGTAAGTACTTTCTACCTTTATTTTAATTTCCTTTTCTTCATTCTGTAATTTGGAAGTTATGTTGTGCAAATTGCCCAAGCAGATGAAAGGGTGGTTTGTATTTGTGATATTTTTGACCAATACTTTGAGAAATGTAATTCATACAGGATGCTTGCATATTTTCTAAGGGGAAAGTTAAGTCTAGTTCATGAATTTATCATTGTTTCTCTTTTTTTCTCAGACATTTGCTTTCATCTCGCACACTAGTAAAAAAATATTTCATGCACATTTTATTTTCTAATTGATCTGGAACATCCATTTCTTAAAATTCACAAGCTCAAATTGATCAGTTTCCTTGTATGCCCATTACATATATTTAAAAAAAAAACCTTAGAATGACAACCTCACTTTATTTCCAGTTTATATCTTATTTAATACAATGAAAACAATTTGAATCAAAATTTGTTTTAGTAAATAAGGAGTCAAAGCTGAATGAAGAAGTGTTCTCATTTGTTTCTCAAAACACAGATCCAACAACAATGCAAAGTGTAGCAAATCTTAGAGATGCAGATGATAAAAATCATAGTTTATACATCGTATTCTTGCAATTAGGCAAGGATATGGCTTATTGTGCATGCTTTGAATTTGGCCCAAGCCCATAGCACAGAATTTCTAATGACGACCAGTCGTTTGTTTCTGCTATCCCATAGCTCTTCCCTATCTCTGAGCCATCTTCACTGGCTTTTGATTTTGTTACAGAGGTTACTCTGTAATGGAAGAAAGTTCTACCTCCACTTAACCACATCAAAGGATAGAGAGATGAAAGGGCAAGCTCTTTCACGTCATTATTCTCTCAGTTGTCTGGGAACCAATCTGTTTTTTTTTTTTTTTTTTGAGATCTCCTGAGCATATATGATAGTGTATGTTCTGACATAGGATGTTGATGTCTGCTTTCAAAAGGAAATCCATGAGAAGCAGCATTTCCCCAAGACAGACACGCCTTTGCTCACCCTAGAAGCAGTGACTAGCATTTCCCTGGAGATGCAGTCCCTTCTTGAGGCCCCAGTGCGTTTGATGTGGAAGATGTTGGTCTGAGCAAAGGCAGCGGTGGTCCACGACAGAACACCTTTTTCGCAGATTGGCTCCTTCCTGTTGGTCACACGTATGAAGGCCTCCCTGAATTTTGTTTTTTTCAGAGTGATCCATCAGGATTTTTGCCTGTTTTCCTCTTTCCATCACTGTCGGGAGTTAATTCCCCATCTCAGGAAAGGGGAACACTGCTTTTCAGGATGGTTTTGCAGTGATCCTTCCTGTCTGGGAAATGAGATTTTATTATATCATTGCAAGGTGGAGATAATTTTTCTCTATACTTCCTATCAGATAAAAAATGAAGAAATAAATACATGTATATATACACATATATACACACATATATATACATATATTTATATATGTGGATGTGTGTTGGAAGTAGGGAAGAGTAAGGGAATATTATTGACACGTGCACTATTTATACTTCCACAGAAGAATCTTCATAAGCTTACACGCTCCTAAGTAAAATGTTATTTCTGTATTTCAAAATCTATATTTAAATTTTTTATTTTAAAATTTATTCTTATTATTTTACATGATATATATTTTAAAGATTTATTTATTTATTGTAAAGTCAGATATACAGAGAGGAGGAGAGACAGAGAGGAAGATCTTCTGTCCAATGGTTCACTTCCCAAGTGACTGCAGTGGCCGGTGCTGTGCCGATCAGAAGCCAGGAGCCAGGAACTTCCCCCAGGTCTCCCACACAAGTGCAGGGTCCCAAGGCTTTGGGCCGTTCTCAACTGCTTTCCCAGGCTAGAAACAGGGAGCTGGATGGGAAGTGGAGCTGCCAGGATTAGAACCAGCGCCTATATGGGATCCCAGCAGGCTCGTTGAAGGTGAGGACTTTAACTGCTAGGCCACGGCACTGGGCCCCGTGATATGGTTTTAAAAGAAAAAGGGATTCACCCCTCACTTCCCCTTCCTCCCTCTCTATTTTCTCCTTAATCTCACTTTACCATCCACAGTATTAGAATAATTTTCCAACAGTTGCAAGTTTAACATTTTGCCGTTTGAGTATTAAATATATAATTTGATGCTAATTAATCGTTAAATATTAAGTATTCAATATCATGATATTTAAGTGTATCATGGCATTGTAGGTATAGGCAATAGTAGAAAGTTTAGTATCATATTGTCAGGGTATATTTAACAGTTTCGTTGGTAAAAGAGTTTATGCCTCCATTTGAAAGTCAGAGTTACACAGATAGAAGGAGAGACGGAAAGAAGCTTTCATGAGCTGGTTCGCTCCACAGCGGGGCCAGACTGAAGCTGGGACCCAGTAGTCTCCTCCAGGTGCAGGGACTTAAACAGTTGGGCCATTCTCTGCTGCCTTCCCAGGCCATCAGCAGGGAACAGGTTTGGTGGTGGAACAGGAGTTATCGTATGTTCTTCTGGGCTATTCTCCAAGAAGTCCTTGCCTATAATGATAATGTCTTAGAGTTTTGTCTTTTGCTTTCCTCCAGTAATTTTATGGTTTCAGACCTTAGGTTAGATCTCTGAGTCATTGCTCACTGTGTGTTGATTTTTTTTTTTTCTTTAGGCTGTGAGGTAAGGTGACTTGTTTCATGATTTTGCATGCAGAAATCCTATTTTTTCCAACGCCATTTGAAGAGACTTTTCTTTCTCCTGGGAATGATTTTAGGATGTTTGTCAAACATTAGTTGTTTGTGGAAGTGTGGATTAATTTCTGGGGTGTTCAATCTGTTCTGCTAGTGCACGTGTCTTTTTTTGTGCCAGTACCATCTGATTGTCTTTGTACCAACCCCATTACATGCCTTGAAATTGAATGTCGCTTCCCCACTCTTGTATCAATGGTTGCCTAAGTGGAGGTGAGGTGAGTGGAATGAGGTTTTGAGGTTTTATTACATTTTTGGGATTAGATGATTTCTGTTGACTGAACCTCAACTCACCAACTCACTGCTTCTTTCTTTACATTCTGTTACTAAATCTCTCTGGTGAGATGTAAGTAAAATCAGACACTGTGTTTTTATTCTAAAAATTGCATGTCATGGAATATCCATATATCTAAGAATAGAAGTTATATGATATCAGAAGTTTGATTCTGAAAATGTCAAATAAACTATTAAGATATTTGGTAGAAGAACAAAACATTATTTGATAGAGCTTCAAGTTTAGCAAGATAGAAATGCTCATTTCTTGTCATAAATTGAAAAACAAAACTAATTACAATTCTATAGCATGATGAGAAATTGGGAGAATATTGAGTCAGTAAGTTATTTACTAACACAGAGTGTCTAATTACTCCAATTAGAAATTAAAAATACGAACACATGTTAACTACTGAAGTAATTAAAAAAAGTTTACAAAGTTTTTCATTTTTAAAAATAAAGTGATGAGCAACTTGCATGCACTTTTATATGTACAGCTTTACCCTCCTTCCCACCTTCTCCTTTATGCCTTCCTCCTTCTTCCTTCCTCATTTTGTACGCAAGTGAAATCGACACTCTGAGATTTGATTATTTCTATAGTCTTTGTCTATACTCTTGAGCAACAGTGAATTTTCTACTTGCTGCTTGATGAATTCTTTATTTACTGAAGGGCTAAGTTAGTGTTTATGAAGTAGATTGAACGTATGTCATTGTAAAGCTTTCCATATGGTCTCACTTAAACTTTAAAGAATAGTTTGTTGGGCCCGGCGCGGTGGCGCAAGTGGTTAAGTCCTCGCCTTGCACGCCCGGGATTCCATATGGGCGCCGGTTCTAATCCCGGCAGCCCCGCTTCCCTTCCAGCTCCCTGCCTGTGGCCTGGGAAAGCAGTTGAGGACGGCCCAAAGCTTTGGGACCCTGCACCCGCGTGGGAGACCCGGAAGAGGCTCCTGGCTTCGGATCGGCATAGTATCGGCCCGTTGCGGCTCACTTGGGGAGTGAATCATCGGATGGAAGATCTTCCTCTCTGTCTCTCCTCTCTGTATATCCGCCTTTCCAATAAAAAATAATAAAAATAAATCTTAAAAAAAAAAAAAAGAATAGTTTGTTACTGTCTACAGAACCTACTACAGGGCCCCTAGAAAGATCCAACATCTCCAAATTTGTTTTGTGTAGGTACCAATGTCTAAAGCCCAACATAGTTAGACCACTCCTGAATTATGAGCTGATCATAATTTGAATGAAGAAGAAAATTACAACTTATAAAGAAGCAAAATTATAAACAAAATATGTGTTAATAAATTTCAAATAGATTTGAAATAAGAATGCATTTGGAATAAGTGGAAGCTTTTATAGCAATGTAATACTTCACAGATTAACTGTTGTGGCAAACTGTGTAACTGCATGGCCACATGAAGAAAAAAAATCACAGGATATGAATAGAAATGTGAAGTCATTCCGTTAAATACTTTGGAAATTAGGATGATTAACTACCACAAGTACTATAAATAATGTTTTGGAGTATAATGATATAAGAAAACATGCAATATAATATGTGATTGAAATAGAGACAATCAAATAAATTTCATATTCATATTCCATGTTTTACCTTTAGGAAATCAAACGTAATTTTGTAACAAATCTTAAGAACAAACAAGTAGACAGGTGTTTGCATTAGAAGGAACTATATGCACTTTAATTTCTATATAATTGTAGTATCTTCTTTTTGGAGAATAATGACATAAAATACAAAATGTTGGCATACATTTATGCATTTAAAAATAAAACAGAAAATTTACTAAAAGAAATCACAGAACTAGTAGAATCACTCTGGGTGATATTAAGACAAAATCTAAATGAGCTTAAACACATTATTATGTAGAATTTACAAAGCAAAAACAGGCAGATATTTTGAGTCTTCAGGTGCAATGAGAGGTAAGTGGGGCAGGTGTGTAACCTATTGGCTTAAGATGCCATAGCACACAGTCAGGAATCTGGATTCAGTTTTCTCCTGTGGCTCTTGAATCCAGCTTTCTGCCAGTGCAGACTCTGAGAGGTAACTCTGAGTAAGATACTTGGAACCTTGCCACCCACATGTGCTTCAGGCTCTTGGTTTCAGTTTTGGCCAACCCATCCATTGTGGGCATTTGGGCAGTCAATAAGCAGGCGGAAACTGTCTACTGACCTGTTTGTGGGTCTGGCACTTTCTCTCTGCCTTTGAATCAAATAAATATATTTTTTTTTTCTAAAAGAGAGTAAGTTAGACAGGGCTTTTTGAATAAACAAATCCCAAGAATTGCATTGGAAAGACAGAAATATTAAATTTCTTTGAAACTGTGATTGCAAGTGATGCTATGCAAGTTTTTCACATTTACTTTGCAGAGGAGAGGCCAGAAAGTGACATCACACATTTTACTTTTAATGCCCTACTTTCTGTAGCACTAACTAAAATCAAGATGTGCTGTTGGCAGTGCCCTGCAGAGAACTGAAAAATGGGGGACAGTGAAGGAGACCCACTTTGTTAGTAGACAATACCTGTTCTCGTGAAGTCTGAAAACTCATGAACTGAGCGAAGCGTATTGATCGTTACTGCAAAGATATTGGATATTTATAGTGACTAATGGTCACACTTTGGAGATATTTTCAGATACAATGGTTTCCTGCTCTTATTCTTTTAACTATGTGCTTACCTGTTAGTTTCTCGTACACACTGGCCCGACTGACGGAGATCCCAGCGTATGCATTCACTGCCTAAGCTTTAAGTCATCACGTTTTGTACCAGGAATCATCAAGAATTCTGAAGAGCAAGTCTTGGTTACAAGCATCAGGAACACCCTTTTTTTCACAAGGAAATATACATCTACAAAGATCTTGCCACCTTCCTCTGAAAAATCAGGTACTTATAATTTTTAAGATATTAATTTATTCAAAAGCTACCCTTTTAGAAATTTGTAGTAAAAGTGAATCAATATCATTCAATTAATAGAATATTATATTTAGAAATAAAGTATGGATTTAGACAAAGAATTAATATAGAAATGGATGGTAAATGTAGACTTGATTAGATTGGAAAGAAATATTTGAAATGAAAATTTTCTATGTTTATGGTAAAACACTTGAAGAACAAGAAAAATCATAAATTCTGTTGGGAAAAAGTTCAGAAAATCCATGAGTTGATTTATAGCTTATAACTTATTTAAAGAATACATAGTTCAATACATAGGGACTATTTAGGTTTCAAATCAACCTCGATGCTTCCTCTGAACCATTTCTCAATACAGTTTTCAGCTACAAGAAATTTAATGTATAAAATACTCTGTCTTGTGTAAAATACAAGTTGTTAAAATTCTCAAGTTCGGCAGCTGACCTAAGAAATAATCGTGGCCATAGCAAGTTCATTCAGACGTGGTTTGTGTCCTCAGATTGTGTCAGAGTGAAAGGAAGGTGAGGACAGGAAAGGCAGAAATGCATAAAGCAATGTGAACCAGGGGGGTGAAGATGGATGCTTACTGAAATACTTGTGAACATGTTGTAATCGAGTTAGAACTTAAGCCGTCTTTTAGACAACTTCCTCAAACTGATGGGACAACATAGGAGAACAAAGCAACGGAAAGACAAATATCAGAAAGATTTCCTCGAAAGAGGGAGAGGCATAAGAGGAGATCAGAAGTGCAGAGAGCAGAACAGAGAAGCCGAGTGGAGTCTGTGAAGGTGGATGTAGGTGCTGTGGGCTATAGGACTGCCAAGGGTGGAGTGCAAGTGAAATATGGAGGGCACACATATCCGAACATTTAAAAACTTCCACTCATTATGCAGTGGCTATCAGATAACTCAACATGTATTGTCACTTGTTTAAACAAATGAGTTAAAGACCAAGTGATCTGCTATAAGAACTTATTTCCTAAATCTTGTCTATTTCAGTATTAATCTGTTTTTAGCAATACTTTCTAATTTGAAAGAAGCTACAAATCTTTCATTGGGCTTAGCTAAGAACAATCTGTTTCTATAGTTTTTTTTTTTAAAGACTTACTTATTTTTATTGGAAAGGCGGATCATATTTACAGAGAGGAGAGACAAAGATTTTGCACTCTCTGGTTCACTCCCCAAGTGGCTGCAATGATCAGAAATGAGCTGATCTGAAGCCAGGGACCTGGAGTTTCTTCTCAGTCTCCCATATAGGTGCAGGGTCCCAAGGCTTCAAGCCATCCACTACAGCTTTCCCATACTACAAGCAGGGAGCTAGATGGGAAGTGGAGCGGCCAGGACATGAGCTGGTGCCCATATGGGATCCTGGCATGTACAAAGCAAGGATTTAGCCACTAGGCCATCTTGCTGGGGCCTGTAGTCTGTTCTAGTAGAAGCTTTTCTACAGTCCATGGATTTAAATAAATCTCGTGTGTTATCTTAAATTCAATTCCGCTTCCCAGAAATGGAAGATCACAGGGTGACGTACACTGAGGTGAAAATCCGGTCTCCATCACGGTTGCAGAGAACACCTGAAATGTCTGAAACCAAAAGCACCACCCGTTTTGAATATCCAGGTGTGTGGCTTTTTTATTCATATTTTTATTATTTTACTCCATGTTTTAAAATGACTTATTTATATTTTTATGAGAGAGAGAAAGAAAGTGTGAGCTTCCATCTTGAAATGTACTCCTCAGCAGTCAGGACAGGGCCAGTGTGCAATTTCATCTGAGCCTGCACGGTGAGTGGCAGAGACTCAAGTGCTTGAGACAAACCTGCTTGTTCCCACAGTGCAGACTCAACCTGTTGTCTCAACAGTCTATGAAAAGGAGTGAGATAGATGGGAAGATAGAGCAGAACAGGAGACAGAGAAGTTGTTTGCTGGTTTGTTTTTGTGTCTTGAGTTGAATAGACTTTAGATCACAGGGTCATGAGGTGGTTTGAAGGAGCTGGGCTTAGAAGGGGGACTGAGCAGTGTGCTGGGTGATGGGGGAGAGATTTCTTAGTGTGATCAGAAGGGGGCAAATAACAGAAAATACTGGAATACTTTCCTGCATTTGAACACTTAAAGTTTCTATATCAAAGTCTTAAAAAGAACATGCAAATGATGAAATGTACTCAGGTATATTTGCCAAGAGGCTGACACATTGAATACGTGATGGCCTCATCAAAATAATTATTTGTAACTTACTACCTGACAATAACAGAGATGGTAAGAGATTGTTCACCATAATAACAGTTACACTGAATAGTAACTAAAAGAGAAGTTCAAATTCAGTTGCTGAAATGAAAAGTAACACTACAAAGCCAAAAATGCTTTGCAATTTTGAATTTCAAACTTGAAAGTAAAAGGTAATGGGAAAAGTTTATTATTTTCTTACTATAAAATTGGGATTCAGCGTTCAAAAAACTTTGAACAGTAAGATAAATTTTTCTGCAAGTGTGGACATTATCATATCAAATTATAGAGACTTAAAATGTAATCTATGAAACCCAAAATGTATTTGAACCAAATAGACATAGTGGAGATAATAAGACAAAGTGATGATAATACAGTTTCTGAGTGGGCTAATTAGTAACAAGACCTTAGAATTTTCTTCTGTCATTTATCAGATTCTGAAGACATTCCATATAATTTTTAAATATTTTATTTTAAGAAGGAGAAATATCATATACTAAAATTTACATTAAAAGGCCTGGTGCTGCAGTGCAACTGGCTAATTCTCCACTTCCAAGTGCCACAATCTCATATAGCCAGTTTGTGTTTTGGCTGCTCCACTTCACATCCAGCACCCTGCTTGTGGCCTGGGAAAGCAGTGGAGGATGGCTCGAAGCCATGGGACCCTGCACCCGCATGGGAGACCTAGAAGAAGCTCCTGGCTCCTGGCTTCGGATTGGCTCACTTGGAGAGTAAATCAGTGGATGAAAGATCTTTCTTTCTGTCTCTTTCTCTCTGTAAATCTTTCCAATACTCCAGAACAATTTCATGTAAAATGTGCAAAACTATAGTTCTCATGCAGGGTCTATACCTCTCTTTGGAATTTTCCTATGAAATAATCTTTTTAAAGATTTATTTATTTTACTTGGAAGTCAGAGTTACATAGAGGGAGAGATATAGAAAGAAATCTTCTATCTGCTGGTTCATGTGCCAAATGACTGCAATGGTTAGAGCTAGGCCAGTTCAAAGCTGGTAGCCAGGAGCCTCCTCTGGATTTCCTACATGAGTGGGTGCTTGGGGAGGAATGGAATTGTGCCATCCTCTACTGCTTTTCCAGGACAACAGTAGGAGCTGGAGTGGAAGTGGAGAGGCTGGGACTAGAATTGGCAGCTTGCTGTGCCACCATGCCCCTCCTGAAATTATTTTTAGAAACTGTGAATAAACACATAGAAGTTCATCTTGAACTGTTTCTGTCTTTGTGATAGATGTCTCTACCTCATTGCTGCCATGGAAGTTAACAGCAGTGGTTCTGAGTCTGGTCTGCCTAAGCCTGCTTTTGTCTGTTGGATTCCTGGTCAAGCAGAGTAAGTCTCCGCAATTCAAGAAGTTGGCTTTTTCATTGTTAGCCTCATGTATGTTTTACCACCATTCTCATTTCCTAGGCATGGTTGTATTCTAGTTGTGTTTTGGTACCAGGAGATCATTTTAAGCACCACATGATATGACGATGCTCTTATTCTTTAATCCTTAGGGTCGTTGATTTTCTCTCACCCACTGGCAATATCTACATTCTTTTATTGGCCCTTTTTTCTTATTTGTTATTTTAAAACATTCTTTGTTATTATTTTGAATATTTATTTGAAAGGGGTGGAGAGAGAAATCTTCCGTCTGCCTTTTTACCCCTCCAATGGCTGCAAAGGCTGAGGCTAAGCTGTCTTCATCAGCTTTCTAGGTGCATTAGCTGGGAGCTGGATGGAAAGCAGAATGATTGGACTTGAATTAACTTGTCAAAGTGGGTGAATCATTGCAGGTGGCAGTTTAATCCTCTGAGCCACCATGTAGACCTCAAAACTTCTTGTTATTTTTTAATTTGAGGCTCTGAAGACAGACTCAAGACAGCAGAGCACACTGTCATATTCTGGTTCCTTTCTCTGATGGCAACTACAGGCAGGTCAGGCTGAATCCAGGAACTAGGACATCCACTTGGGTACCTCCCGTGGATGGTAGGGTACCAAGTACATTAACCATCATCTGCTGCATTTTCTTATTTTCTTGTGCATCCACAGGAAGCTGGACTAAGAGCTGGACCTAAATCAACTTAGCCTCTATGATATGTGCTACTGGCATCTTAACTGCTAATTTGAATGCCTGAACCTACCTGGAATATCATTAATTATGTTTAATTTTTTAAATTAAATCAAGTAATTTTAAAATCTTTAATTTTATTGCCTGCTGTTTTTATCACATCAGAATTACATCAGAGAAATTTTTAGAATTTTCCTTATGAGAATCAGCTTCTCAGTAGTTAATACATTAATTTCTAATATGTTAATTTCCCTGTGAGGCTTGTATTATGATATTTGCAGATAATCTCCAAATCATTAAACATGTGTGGAAGTTATTGATAATGTGTTATTGTAATTATTGACGGTCTTTTTACAAATATTGTGTTTTATGCAGTGTCGTTTATTTTAGCTTAAACTCAATGAAACAAGCTGATGTTTGTGATTTGTTTCTTAGTAGCAGAGAGCACTTCCCAAAATCACCAATTTAACCAGGAAAGAGATCCAAAAGGATCGATTTCAGGAAATTCAGAGATTCAACAACAGTCAACAAAAGGTAAGTGTATTTAAGAATAAGATCAGGAGGTTTCCAAGAGTTAAAAAATAACTAATTGTGTGTGCATCATTTTGCATGTAACAGATGAATGAATGTGTAAATGAGTGAATCAGTAAGTGCTATATACCCAGGAGGCATCGTGCTGTATATTTAGACAAAAGTTCCCTAAGAACCTACTCAATTTGGAGTTATTGGAAGTGCTGACTTGATGCCAAAAACTGTTCTTAGGATTGTTTTGTCTCAATGCATATCTTATTTCTATGCATCATTTTAAAGATTTATTTATTTTATTTTGAAAGGCGGATCAAATATTATGGAGATCAGTAAAGACAGAGAGAAAGATCTTCCATCTACTGATTCACTTTCCAATGAGCTGAACCAATCTCTAGCCAGGAGTCAGGAGCTTCTTCTGAGAGATCTACCAAGCAGATATAGAGTCCTAAGGCTTTGGATCATCATTGGCAACTTTCACAGAGCACATGCAGGGAGCTGTTTAGGAAGTGGAGCAACTGGGACACAAACAGGTGTCCATATGGGATCCTGGTGCTTACAGGCAAGGATTTAATAATTTAGTTTTCATATTATGATTGAAATGACTTAGCAGGAAGCAACATCATTTTGTGTGAATAATTTTATCCCTTAGTTTATGTATGGCTTACTTTCCATGCAATTACCACACCAGCAGTTTAAACTAGAAATTCTGACACAAGGCACCTAGGCATATTTTGATCTTTTCTTTAGCCTCGCGGTGTCAGCCCTGTGATGAGAACTGGCAGCAGCATGGGAAGTACTGCTACTCCTTTTCTAGAAATCTGATTCCATGGAGAGATTGTCAACGCTACTGTTCAGAGTCACGTTCAAGCTTTCTTAAGTTAAACGTGGAAGAAGAGCTGGTAAGGACAAGTGTACGTTTCTTACATTTAGTCATCTTCTCCAGGAGACATTTTTGTTTTATACTATATGTTTTCTTTTGAGCTATTCCCACCTATGGAATGTCATATACCACTCTGGTTATGCTCTTCTCTTGCATCAGCCCTGCCTGGGTTTCTAGTAGAAGGCTCCTAGTCTGAGGCCTTTGTGCAAAATTGATTCTCATCTGAACTCTTGCTTCTCTCCTCAGTCTCCTTCCTTACCAGTGGCTTCCCATCACGTCCAGTTCTGTGTGTTCATTTATGTGTTCCCTAAAGTGTAATTCAGTGTGCTCCAACTGGACTCTTTCCCTTTGATCCTTGACATTTTCTCTGTTAAACCTCGGTTATCATAGAATCAGAACACCTGCACACATTTTGTGATCACCTGGTCTTGTGAGAGTCCTTGACAAGTGCTGTCACTGGACCCTGCACTTCCCTTTTCTGACATTGCTTAACCATCTGCTTTCCTCTTAGATTCTTATTTAACGAGACTATTTACTGACCTTGCATACTCAATATCTAGTATAAGTGCAGAATATGATAAAAACTTTCATAATGGTTGATTAATGAATTAATATGTATGTGGTTGTTGGTGGGAAACAATCTTGAGTGCATTTTTATCACAGTTGTATATTTCAGAGACAATATGAAAGTTCTCCATAGCAATGAAGATCTCTCAATCTTTATGTACCCAGCCAACGCATTAATGACATCAGATGTAATTTTTTTTCTGTATTTGTTGCATCCAGGAGTTTTTGACAAGATTGTCAAAAAGGGAATGTCATATGAATGAGAAAAACTTGGGGATCAGTTTGTACTTCAATAGCCGCCAAATGAAGTGGGCTTGGCTGGATGGCTCAGCCTTTACGTTGGACAAGTAAGCATGCTTTTAGTCTTTTAGAACACTAATTGTAGGACAGTCATGTTGATTAATTAATCACATATGATGAGATGTAAAAGTTCTGTGTCTTGTGGTTCCATGACACAGTTAAAAAGAGAAGATAGGATGAGGTGGAAGAGAGTAAAGCAAAATTGTGTTGGCAGCATGCTAAGAAGTTACTCAAGCAATGTCTGATGACATCTTAAGAAGCCTTTGCTGTTCTCTTTATTTTTAATCTTTGTTTATTTCTAATGTTTACAATGTTAGTAACCTAGTATGTATCAGAGTATTGTAAAACATAAAAGTGGTTACACTATCAGTAGTTAGGTGATCCAAAACATTGAGGAGCCTTATAAGGTATAAGAGGCTATAAGGAAGGGGTTGAAATTCACAAATAATTTTCAGATGTTTTTATATATCTTCCTTAGGCTAAGAACTAAATGGCAAAAACATTTCCCATTACTATGTCAGTGACTTAGCAGAGGACTATTGTTTGAGGCTCCCTTCCTGAGATCTACTTGCTTAGCTTTTGAAAGAATCAAGTACTGTTTATGATGTATACATAAATAAACATGCCTAAGAAATATATTTCTTTTAAAAATTTTATTTATTTCTATTGGAAAGGCAGATATACAGAGGGGAAGAGAGACAGAAAGGAAGATCTCCCATCCGATGGTTCACTCCCCAAGCAGCCCCAATGGCTGGAGCTGAGCCAATCCAAAGCCAGGAGCCTGAAGCCTCTTCTGAGTCTCCCACACAGGTGCAGGGTCCTAAGGCTTTGGCTATCCTCGACTGCTTTTCCAGACCAGAGGCAGGGAGTGGGATGGGAAGCAAGGCTGCGAGGACTAGAACCAGTGCCCATATGGGATCCTGGTGTGTTCAAGGCGAGGATTTTAACTGCTAGGCTATTGCACCAGGCCCAAGAAATATATTTCTTTAACATTTAGTAACTGGGGAGTAACATTGCTTGAGTGCATTGAAATGTATTAAATTTTAATCTGTAATCTAAATTCTGTTCTCTTCCAGGCTTGGATTAAAAAGACCTAACAATACCTATAATCAGTGTAAATTTATTAGAAATGCCAGGTTAATTGATGGGAGTTGTGAAGAGCATGTGCATTGTATGTGTAAGAAGACAACCTATGGACATTAAATTTTTAAAGGTTTAAAAATAAAGGAAATGGTGAAAGTTTTCTGAGATAATTTTTCACCTCATGAAAGAAAGTCAATGGTTATGTAAAACCACGTGTCTTTAGAGTGCTAAATCCCATGCAAATTATCCATAATAAATACAGCATTAATTTATTTGAAGTTTAATAACCAAAGATTCAAACATAAGCTATCGTGATTGAGAACCCGACATGAAGAGCAGGAAGCTTGGAAGGATGAAGTTTGAAAACTTTGAAGATTTGGTGCTGTGCTGCAGCTGTTTCAGCACCTGCGTGTCTGCATCCCAACCAGAGTGCCTGGTTTCCATGCTGCTTGCTCTGCCTCTGACTCAGATTGCAGCTGATGCATTTGGGAGACAGCAGGTGGTGGCTCAAGTGGTTGGTTCTGCAGCGCTCACATGGGAGATTTGGATGGAGTCCTGTGCTTCTAGCTCCCTGGCTCAGTGCTGGTGATTATGAGTCTTTTGGTGTTGAACCAGCAGATGGACTCTCTCTCTCTCTGTTTCACTGCTTTTCAAAGAGTATGAAAATAAAAAATAAAGAAAAAGTAGAAAGAAATGAAGATGGGGGTCAGTCTGTGATGATTAGAACTTTAAGGATTCCAAAATATTTAAAACCATTCAAATTAAGTCACAATGTCCATGTATGGTCAGTTTGAATACTAGTTTTTGATATTTTCTGAATTCTCCTCCTCATATCTAACTTACAAGGATATTAAGATGTCCATAACCTTCGAAGAATGATATTTTTTACATATTTGGCAAGTAGTGGCTTAAAAATGTGAAAACCCCGAGAATGTAAAAATACTTTTTTTGTGTGTGTGTTTAGAAGGACATGGGAAGGGAGAATGAATATCTTTTTAGACAATATTTTGTAAATTGGAGATGGGAGAGCTCTCTCTCTCTCGCTTTCCTAACTGCTTAAAAATAATGAAGCAAATAACAAGAAAATTCTTTATCATTAGTGTATAAAAAGAAAGCAATCAAGCAGTTTCACAGGTGAGTTACATACTGAGCTTTCAATAAGAATCTTTCTTGAATTCCTCCTAAATCAGAGTATGAAGTGATGCATATATGCAGGTGTCATCACTCTAACACTGAAGCCAATGACACCAGTGACAACATAATGTCACTGATGAACATAGTCACAAATACACTGGCAATTTTAATTGAACAGTGTATTTAAATTTTAATTAAAAAAACAAATGAAAAGTGTTCCTTGGATATCATGGTAATTCACATATGTATCACATTTATGGGGTAGGAGACAAAAGTGACACGATGATCTTAAAGGATGCAGAGGATGTATTTTACAATTAAACTTAAATTCATGATGACTGTGAACAGAACAGGTGTAAAAGGAGCTTAGCAAAATAAAAGCCAAATATGAAACACTACAGGGAACGTCTAATCTAAGACATTCTCTCCAAACCCAGGTCAAGACAGAGGTGATCACTGTCACCACTTCTATTCAATAAATACTAGAAATAATAGTTGGAGAGTTAGGCAGGAGAAACAAGAGGAATCCAAAGCAGAAAGGAAGCAGGAAATTAGACCTTTTTTTTCTATTGACATGAGCTCACATGTTAAGTCCTCAGAGTTCTATGAGAACCTCTGTCAAAACCAATAAGCAAACCTTGTAGCATGCAAAGTTAACATACAAATAAATCACAACTTCAAGTGTAGCAATGAACTGCTTCAAAGGGAAATTAAAAAACATATTTACAATGGTATCAAATGTGAAATCGGAATAAGTCTCATTAGAGAAATAGATAATGACTTGCACACTGAAAATAACAAAACTTTGATGAAGCAAATTGCAGAACGTAGACAAGTGGAAAGACACCTGCATGCACCAACTAGAAGTATTAATGTTAAATGGTTTGTGCTACAAAGTAATATGCAGAATCATGTTGTCCCTATCAAAATTCCTATGGCATTTTTTCACATAAGCAGAAAAATAATTCTAAAATTCATCTGAAGCTACAGAAGGTGACACTGGCCACAGCAATCTTGAACAAGAATAGCAAGGCTAGGAGGCCCGGCGTGATAGTGTAGTGGTTAAAATCCTCTCCTTGAACGTGTCAGGATCCCATATGGGCACTGATTCTAATCCTCGCAGCCTTGCTTCCCATCCCACTCCCTGCCTCTGGTCTGGGAAGGCAGTGGAAGACAGCTCAAAGCTTTTGGACACTGCATCTATGCGGGAGACCCAGAAGAAGCTCCAGGCTCCTGGCTTCGAATTGGCTCAGCTCCAGCCATTGTGGCTGCTTGGGGAGTGAACTATCAGACGGAAGATCTTCCTCTCTGTCTCGCCTCCTCTCTGCATATCTGACTTTCCAATAGAAGTAAATAAATATTAAGAAAAAGAATAGCAAAGGTGGAGACAAAGCAGATTCTAATTTCTACATATGGAAGAGACATACAGCAATTACAACATGATGACAGTGACATAAGCACCGATTGACATATAACAGCTGGACTAAAAGATCCCAGAAATGATGTCATATGTTTACAAAAAGAGAAAAGAATTGAAGAAAAAAGAAAAGAAGAAGCCCACAATGAGGAATAAATAGTCTGTTTAATAAATGACGCTTGGAAAATGTATCAAGAAGATTCAGAGATAAAGAATAGACTATTTTATTCAGTGTGATACTCACCTTAAAACAGATGCGACTTCAATGAAAGATTCCAGAAATTCTAACTACTAGAGAAAAACATACAAAGAATGAAAAAAAATCCAATTACATTTAAATTCAGAAATTAACTCACACAGAATGAGTCATGTTATTGTTTTGTGCCTATTTTTAGGGGACAAGACATGCTATGTTATTTATTATACTGAATAAATGCAGGACTCTGAGCAAATCTTGGAAAGCTGGCATCATATGGCTTGTTTGCCTCTTGGCATAGATGTTCCTGCTCCATCTTCATGGAAATTTATGGCAGTGATTCTGTGGATTGGTTGCCTGGTGCTGTCTGTGTGTGTTGGAGTCTTAGCCATAAAGTCTAAATCACATTGGAAATAGAAGCCCACTTTTCCAGTCCTCATCGGGAGACTGTATTGGGCCTAATGCAATTGTTTATCATGTCAATTTCTTCATCATGTGTAATGCTCTCTGCACAGTACTGGAGATAACTTCCCAGACACATTTTCCAAGTGTATCATGAACCTTACGTAATGACTTGGTGTGTCTTTTTATACTACTTTCACCAGAAAAGTTTTGAAAAAGCATTTGTCTGATCTTTGAGGCCGTTGTTGCTATTTTCCTTTTCCTGTCATCATTTGGTGCGTGATTATCTGTGGTTCTGTGGTCAGTGTCTACATGGACTTGCTGCATGTTTAATTGGATCCTTATGCTTCTGCCTCTCTGAGTTAATCTGAATTCTTTGAGGAAAATTGTTTTTAATCATTTTTGTGTTTTTAAGTCAATATAGTGTTCTTGTAATGTGGTTTTTCTCTGTGAATTTAAGCCAGGTCATCCTGGTGTTGGCACAGCAGGCAAGATGACCCATTTTAAATATCCACATCTCGTACTGGAATGTCTTGTATTTGAATCCTAGCTATGCTTCTGTTTCCAGCTTTCTGCCACACAGAACTTGAGGACAGAATGTGAAGGCTCAGATAAGGCTGTCCCTGACATCCACCTTTGAGGCCTTGGTTGATGTGGTCCTGACTCTGTCCTGGCCCAGTCCTGGTAATTGTGGGAATTTGGGAAGTCAATTTGAGGTGGGTAATCTCTCTCTCTCAATCATTCTAATGAAAAAAAAAATGAAAATAAAACTGGAAGTTTTGGAATTCCCTTCAGAGAATCAGAAGTTAGTTCAATCGGGATAGTCATTGTATCTCTCTTCAAACAAGATAGAGAGTAAAGCAAGTCATTTTCAAAGACTCTTGAGTCATAACTATTTTCCAGAAAGAGGTGAGAGTGAGCTGTTTTTTCAGCTGTTTTACATAATACATACACCTGGATATATGTAAATAGGTGTAAGTCGATTCCGCTTGTATGTAAAAGAATATTTCTCATGTAGTGTGGTATAGATGTCAGTTACATGATCAAATAATGGCTTTGTTAAATGTTGACTTAGTGATGAATACAATTATGGTGATCAGATATTGGCTTATATAATGGCAAAAAAGCAGAATTTATGATTCTATGAGAGTCAAATAATATTTTGGCTATAATGTGCTGAAGTACAAATTTATTGGATATAAATAATAGAGAGAAAACAATCAGTTATTGTCTATTTTTTAACATAGTGTAAGAACTTTGTATTGTTAAAAAAATGGTATCATCAATGCCAAAGTATTACTATTTCACACGATATCTGCTTCTTTGGAAGGTATTATAAAAGTATTACATTGCTTAAGGGTCTAGTTCTTATAGATATGCTACTAAAGAAGAGATGATATGGCCAAACTTTTGTTTTCTATGTTTCAGGTAATTTTAAAGTTTCAGAAAATGTTAAGTATTGTTTCAATCCTTACAGAATACAGACATGTTTTACAGTTTTCTAAAACACTTTGTATACTGAAATCATGGAAATCTTTACAATTTGACTGTAATTTTGAATGCATAATTTAACAAGTGTCTTTCCTTAACAGTGGAAAATCAAAAAAGGCACAACTAACTTGTGTGTAGGCCACCTGCAGTCTGCTTTGTACCTACTTTTCTGAGCTCTCTGCTCTCAGTGACTCCACTACCCTGTTCCAAGGAAGAGAAGCCAGGGACTCCAGGAGGGAACCTCTTTAAACCATCATTGCTTTCCCATACTCTGCCCGTTCATGCCTCACAATTATTAACTCATCTGTGTTAGCAGATTTTATATCCTTCCCACTCTCCCAGCTGTTTTCTTATACTTAGTAATTTCTCCAATTTAACATCCTTGAGAAATGTTTTTGGTACACCAAGACTTTTTAAACTTCCCTGCTGGGTACAATGTGGCGTAAGGGATGAAGCTTCAGTTTTGGACATAGACATTCTCTTTCAGAGCGCCGGTCAGAGACTAGAATCCGTCACTTCTGATCTAACTCCCTGTGTCAAGCTTGGAGAGCAGCATTTGATGGCCTAAGTACTTGTGCGCTGTCACCCACGAGGAAGACTGCAATTTTGAGCTCCTGCCTTGGTTCCTGTCCAGCCCTGCTGCTAGGGAGTAAACTAGCTGAAGAAAAGGTATCCCCATCTTTCTCACTCTTTCTATCTGCCTTT